CAAATCAAATATTTAAAATATGGAAAGGTCTAGATAATATTTTTTCCAATATTAAGTTGCACTTCCAAGCATTTTTAATCAATTTATAAATTATTAATAAGAAAACACTGTAAAAGTCTTAAAATGGCACATTTTGACTATTTATTCAATATCTTAAATTAATTAGAATTTACTTATCATGCAATTAAGAAATTTTGTAGATTCATTCCTATACCTTGCGCTAAATAAAAGAAATATATTTTCTTAAGAACTGGCTGGATCCTTATTACCAAAATTAAACAAAACATTTTTAGATTGAACTATCAACGACTTTAACAATTAATTCAATTTTTATCAAAATATTTGAAGCGAAGCTAATCACAACAGTTTAAGTTATTTTTTTTTTTATAAATGTTTATTTTATTGGATCAAAAATAGCATACATTTTTATTACAGTGTAATTTATATAAAAGTCGCTTTAGCCATACAAAAAAAAACCTACATATATATTCACTTTATCAATCAACAAAGCTAAAATTGATTGACTGACTAACTGATTGAAAATAAACTTTCAGACTGATTCGTACGATCTGGGAAGTTGAATGTTATTACAGTAAATACTGTACTTATGTAACGGTAAAACTTTCCTCACTGGGAAAACTCACCCCCCAAAAGTGGAAGATATTTATATATAAACATTTATATAGAAATTTGAGGACTAAAGTTGAATGTGTTATTTTGTTCGATCGAATTCAAGCTTAGTTTTTCAAAAATGCATAGAATATATCCGATATTGAAAAGTCCAAATATCTGGGGATGACTATTGATTGCAACTCATTATTATTCGCGCAATCGGATTCAATCTCATTTTCAAAGCTTTAGCTTTTTCCGTTCAAAATCGGTTCTGTTATACCAAATTTATGCAAGTTTAATTTACAATTATAATGACATTCTATGCAGCACTGCAAATTTCAACAAAATCACATTCTTAAATATTGCCCTTCTTTGCGAATCTCATAATTTCAGACTAACACGCTGTCATGCTGTAATTAAAATGATATATAAACATATTTTCACTCCTATTTACGCTCTCTCTCTCTGAACCTGATGCTGATTTTTTAAGATAGTTATATATTTTTATGCACTTATTTCTCCTATATGTTATTATATGTGATATTTGGCCCTGGGGTTGATCTATTGCTTCCTACATGTCTATATAAGTGCCTAGTAAATATATGTGAGAGGCGTGTATTTGTTTGCATTCACTTATTCACCATAATTGACAGTCAGAGAATTCAAATTAGTTTGTTCCGCCTGCCGCTGGTTGCCATTGTGTTCGTGCTCCTTGCTCTAGCAGTCGAGCAGAGATCGAGCGGAAATACAATCGTATAGAAATACAAATCTGTTGCTGGACGAGTGCATATAAATTTTATGGATTTTGCGCAAAGTTTGCCATTTTGCCACTTTAACATTATTGTTATGATGATAAGCGAGCGAGCAAAGCGAACGTTGCGGCGACCATGTCGAACGTGCTGCGCTGCGCTGCGCTGCGGCTGCGGCTGCCCGCGGAGCGAGACCAAGATCAGGTCTCCAGGTCTCAACCCTGGCCAGCCAGGGGGACTCTGGGACTCTGAATGGGAGTGTGACTGCGACTGCTTTTGGGGTCTGTGTGTCTGCCAATGCCGAGTCATGTTTAATGGCCTGTGGACGGGATCGCGCCAGAACGCATCCTGCCTCCTCGTTGTTGTTCTGTTTGCTGATCTCGGCGCGATCTGCTGCAAGACTGAGTTGGCTTGTTTGGCTTTCCTCCATATTTAAAACCATTTCATTTTCTCGGGGGCCAGAGTGTGAATATAATTTAATGTGTGTGTGTGCTTGCAATTTTCAATATCGCTGCTTGTACCCGTTCCCTGCTTCGCTCCTCTCCGCAGATATTATTTATTATGCTTGATTGGTTTTCAAGTGATCATAAAGTAAATGATCGTCGTTTTGGGTCGCGGACCTGGCCCCGGCCAGTCTGTGCCAATCCAGCTGGCTCTGCTGTGGCGTTAATATGTAGATTTTGTTTTCGCATTGGAGGCGTTAGTTAAAGATTTACGCGCCGGCCAATGAATTGTGGCAGCCATTCCACAGACAAGCCCGGGTCCTGACCCTGTCTGATAGCGTCTGGGGATAGCTTCATTTGCCGCAGACACCTTGCATTCCAATGGCCATATCCTGTTTAACTCCCACACGCAGTGCACTTCTCTGATGGCCTCCAACAATTTGGCATTAACATTTAATTGACATTGATGATTGCGGCAGCGGACAACTCTGAGAACGCCGGCTACCTGGGCAGCGTGCTCGGAATGGGAATTGCGAATGCGGCAAGAAAATTATTAAAAAATCATATCGTAGCAGAGTGACAGCTGAGCTGCGTATGTCAGGCATATAGTCTGCTAGTTGTAGTCGCAACCAACTGACATGAAGAAGACATACAAATAAATTTGTGGCACCTGCAGACAGCAGGCAGCAGGGGGGGGGGGCAGGCGGGGCAGGGGGAGAGGCTGAAAGTTGGAAGTGCGCTTGCGTTTCTAGCGCCAATCTCTCAAGGTTTCTCTCAAAGTAAATGCTCAAAATCAACGCCAAGTGTTTGGGGCGCTACTTTCGACAGATATGCGAGTGTGTGTGTGTCAGTGTGTGTGTGTGTGTGTGTGTGTGTGTGTGTGTGTGTGTGTGTGTGTGTGTGTGTGTGTGTGTGTGTTGTTGGCTTGTTTGTATGTCGGAGTGTGTTTTGTTTTCGCTGCTTTAAATGAACGTTATTAAGAGATGCTTATCTCTGAGTGATTTATTCATTAAAAAGGCATTTATTAGCCAGAAACAAGGCAATGTCTGCGTGCGTGTGTGTGTGTGTGCTGGTGTGTGTGTGTGCGTGCTAGCTACACTCACCTGCACACTCGTACACAGACACCTCCGCATGGCCAAGACACACATTTGGCCAACACGCTGCGGCTCGTTTCTTGGCCCGCTCGTCGCCTCATTTGCGCGGCATTAAAATGCGAAAGCGTGTTTGTTCCTGGAAAACCAACAAAACGCACACACATATCCAAATGGTGTGTGTGTGTGGGGTGTGGGGGGGTGGGGTGTGGGTTGGCTGTGTCGGGCTGCGGGTTGCATGCCTTTTGCTTTATTGACTTGCATATTTCCACAATTTGATGTCTGTGCGCGTTTTTAATCACTTAATTAGAGAGTTTTTTAATTGTCTTTACTAGAATTTATTGCAATTTATGCAAAAGGTGTGCTCGCTGTTTGCACGTTGCGTGCCGCCCAGGAAATGTGTCTTGCGGGCCAAGTTCGTGCCTTAAGTCTTTTGTTCAAAGGTGACGCAAAAGTGCGTGAGTTGAAAAGTTCTCTATTTCTCTTCAGGACTTGTTTCCATATCATAGACTCTACATATACTTGTTCTACTTTTTAGGAGAAGCCTGGAAAAGCCGGATTGGCAATTGTCGCCTATTTAGACGAGGACAATTTCAATGCTAACCAGGCCAGGCCAGGCAATAGGGCTAATAGAATGGCAAAAACTGAGGCAGAAGCACGAGGCACGAGGCCATCGCATAAATACTTGTTAGTACCCCTTGAGAACTTTGCATGCGAGTCCACAGAGACGACAGCTGAGGAGTAGTTGGAGTCGTCGTCGTCGTCGTTGTCTTAGTCGTCTGTTAATCACCTCCTCGCCTGGCTGGCCATGTATCATCGGGCAGCCGCGACGTAGTTGGAGTGTGTGGTGGCTTCTTCGTTTTGGTGTCATAAGGAAGCGTCTAAATGATTCATAATTTATGCCTAGTTCTTAGCCAGTCGCTGGCCATGGCCATTCCGCCGTTCCCATACCCATTCACTTGGCCATTCAATGCTTTCGTTACTTAATTTTTCCAACTTAACGTACTGGCTTGTGCCTGCTGATCATATCCTCAGCACTCTCTGCCCCTGCCCCTGCACAGTCGCTGCTAATGCCTTTTGGCTGGCAAAGTGCGTGGCCGTCATCGTCGTCGTCGTCGTCGTTGTTGTTGCTTGTCTGGGACGTTGATAGTTGAAAAAATTACTTACAAATTACATGCGTAGCTTATGCCCCCGTGCCGCCTTCGGCTTGTTTGCTTAATGTGCTTTGCGGCGGGTTACGGGCTCCCATGTCCATGTGTCCATGTGTCCATGTGGCCAGAGGCAGTCGTCGCTGCTGGTATTAGTATTATGTCTCGTGGCCGGGTCGTAAATTGCTTTTCCTAATTGAATTCTGAGCACTGTCAAGCCGAATGACAGTCAAGTGGGTGTGGGCCGGGCCTCTATCTGCCGTGCAAGAATGGTTTTTAAATGCTGCAGCCAACATATGTATATGAATGAATAATCGCCATCTTTTGATTATAAATACAAAACATTTCTGCACCTTGCTGCGAACTGTTCTCATTAACTCAAACGCCTTGAATCATCATCTTAGGGCATACAGATTAATTAACATATTTAATATAGTGGCAATTACGCCTGTTAAATAATGCATTGTACAATAGCAATAATTATAATTGAGTTAACAAGCCCAGTCAAAGGGCTGGCAAGTTAGTTTTTATGTTTGCGGAATTTCGCATGCTTTAAAATGCAGCACGAAACATGGCCATAAAGTGTAGTTGCGGTTAGCCTAGCAAAGTCGACAATTTAAAAAGCCAATTTGCACATAATACGGGAAACGTGAGCGAAAATCTTAAACAGAATTGTCCAAGCGCAGAGCTACGAATTTCTACGCATGTGTGCAAATGGACGCTAATGCAAATGTCGCCACTTTGGCTTGATCAGCTTATTAAGAAAACATTAACTTGGCTTGACCCAATTTCCGTTGGCATGCTAATTTGAATTTGCACACACGCTGCTCAACACTGGCGCAAGCACGTGTGCTCACGCCCAAGACCGCGATCTGGCAACACTTGTGTGCGGCAGGCGATGCGCAATTAAATTTATGCATTGCAAATATACAACATTTGTGCCTTATTCCTACAGAAATGGGTCGCAAAGGCAAGAAGGAGCCGAAGCAACTGGGAGTAGGCGACTTTGTGTTTGCCAAGGTGCGCGGATTTCGCGCCTGGCCAGCGCGTGTTCTCCAGGAAGACGGCAACATGTTTCAAGTCTATTTCTACGGCACTTGCAACATCGCCAAAGTTGGCGTCACCCAGCTCTTTGAGTACGAGAAGTGCAAGACACGTTTGGGCGAGGTCAAGCAGAAGCATTACGGCCTGTTTAGAGAGGCGATGGTGCACGTGGAGCAGTCGCTGACCAATCCATCCGACGATCATGGCTATTTCCAGGCAAAGGCCGACTTGGCCAGCGATGATGCGGAGCTCGATGACGAAGAGCTGATCTCTCCAACAATCTCTCCACAATTGGCATTGAAAAAAAGATTGGGCAGAACAATTGTACCATTTACACACATAACCGGCGACTCGGATTAGGGCTCAGCCACGTAAAAGTTGATCATTTTATGGAGTTTAAGTTGAACAAAGTTGGTTTTCCCTAATGGAATTTAATAAAGAATTGTTTTTCAGAAACATCTTTCTGATCGGAAATTGGTTCCAGCTGCAATTTTGTGGCACTCAGCCGTCACGTGGCAATTAAGGATTTCGGCGCTGTTGCGTTTATCGCGTGGGCGTGTCTGCCCGCGTAATGTCCACTGCGTGACGCATCAAGTCGAGGGAATAAACATGTTTCTCAGTTAATCAAAAAGCTGCCGATACACGTTTCGTTGGCCGCACAAATGGCAGCGCATTAAATGCTGCGCCATCAGCAAATCCGGAGCCACCCCGTGGGTGTGAGCGTGCTCCTGCCGAGCGGGCATAGTTTAGCTTAATGGGCATCGTAAAGAGCGCTGTCCATGAAACTGGCTGACCCAGGGACAACGGCACGTCCATATTTGTTTTCCCACCCTACTTTTAAAGACGCCGGAGCTTTAATCGAATAAGAGTATGAGTGAGGGGAACGGGAGCTGCTCTGATCTCTGGCAGAGTTCGATTTACATTAGCAAATTATCTGAACCGCAGCAAATTAATCGCTGCAGTTGTTGCATCGCTGGCATCTGCAGTGGCTGCCTCGTAAAATATTTGGGTTAACAAGGCGGATGCTGTTGCCGCTGCCGCCGCTGCTGCTGCTGTTGCAGTTAACCGCAAATCAGATTCGCTAGGCCTGCAATGAGATTTGGCAGGCACATCAATTTGGTTTTATCACGAGATGTTTTGTGGGACTTTCGGTACTCCAACAGCTTGCAGCAGCTGCTTGCCGTAGCTTTCGCAGATGAAGCATCCCCGACAGCTGTCTGGGTAAACGTTGTCCTGTGTCGTTGCGGTTGACCGCCTTGGCAATTGACTCCTGGACAGATTTTTAAGGAGTTAACTATTCACGCATAATTCATTTATTCTCGAACGTTTGTTACTGCTTACCAACCCTTGGCCCACGTCCAGGGCAGTAAAATGTCAAATTAATGTTACGACATGTCCAACAACTTTTGATGGCATTTGACAATGTAGACTTGGAAATTCCTGCAGGTGACGCAGTGCCCCTGTAATTTGTTTGGCCGCACGTACGCTGGACATGATGGAGCATTGTCAACTTGTGCCTGCCCAGCATAAACAAAAACAAAGCGCGCCGAGGGACCTGCAACTGTAGCAAACTGAATAGCAGGTGTGGATGGAGTAGGAGTGTGCTGCCTGGGGTTCGATATCTGGCCAGCGAAAGGTGTCAATGTGTGGGCATGTCGCACACGTGTGCTTGCGGCCCGAGGCTATAAATTTCCTAAGTTTATTTTTGTTGCAGCCACAACAAACGGAAGAAAAGGCCCATGGCCTACAAGTCTTGGCCCGTTCAGCGGAAATTTGCTAAGGAAATCAAATTAAAAATTGCTTATCAGCCGCATTCAAATCGTGCTAACAGTTTGGCGGCCGCTAATTGGCAAAATAAACGTTCGGCAACACTGGTTGCCTTTATGCATATGCATATGCATGTGTGTGTGTAGATGTGCATATACACACACATTCATTTACATTATCGAATCACTTTATGGCCCGGACAAGTGGCAGCGAAACAAAAGCATTCTAATTAAAATTCCCAAGTGTCAGAAAGTATATTTGTTTCGTTGCCAAAATAATTGCATCAATCAAATTTATGGCAAACGAATTCGCCAGGTTCAGAAGGGGAGAAAATATATCCGATTGGCCATTGGGTAAACTCAGTTGAGTTCAATGACTGATTGCCTGCTTACACTGTGCTACACATCGAAGAACTAAATAAAACATAAAATATCAATTAATTCTGGATGTGTATATAAATTTAGTTAATATTAGCGACGGAATTCATAATAGCAAACAATTGGCTATTGTTCGATAATTGTATCGATAGGCAATATAAACGAACTTTACAGCACTTTTCGTAACGCAATGAACGATTGCTATTTTAAAAACATTTCCGATTTATTTGTGCAATTAAAATTCTACTTTGGTCTGATTGCAGCCCTCAATATTGTAGTGTAGTGTAACCCCCTTTGATGGCGCATGCAATTTAATATATAACGAATTTGATGGGCCAATCAACCACTTAATTCTGTGCTATTTGACGACCATTGTTACGCACATGTTATTATTAGTGCTACACTATTACACGAATCCACCCCGTTGTTATATAAGTATGTATGTATATATATATATATGTATATCCCTCGAGCACCCATTGTTCATTTGTTACAATTTACAACCGTCATGTAATGTGTCATAAAAACGCAGTCGATTCCGAGTCGGGCGACATTGCAGCCGCAATGCATAATTAAGTCATAAATTTTCGTGGCTTCAGGTGAAAACGACACGATTCGATGCCATCATTCATAATTGGATGTTAAGCATTTGGAAATACACGGATGACAAAAGCATGCCACCAAAAAAACAGAAAAAAAAACAAATTCAATATGCAAAGCGTCTACGATTTTTATTTGCACTCGTGCGCACAGTGGGTGGCATTATCCGTCCATTCCGTTGGATACTTTGCGGGCCATAAACATTAATTGATTTGTGCCAAAAAGCTTAACATTTTTTTTAGGCCACAGCACCCAACAGCTGGAGAGGTAAAGAGGCTGGTGCCCCCCCCCCCCCCCCTGCGTTCACATGGGCTAATTAAGGTATGCCAGAAATGGCAAATTAGCATAAAAGTTTGCAACTTTAAATAATATTATTATACCCACTTTATTATGCTCATATACTGTCGTTCGAGGTGCTCGTATTTAATGGTTACTTTGTGACAAAATTGATTAATGAAGTTATTTATTTATTTCGCTTGCATATGGAGAATTTTTATGGTACACTCAAATTATGACGAATTATGTTGTTGTCTTTTCAAAATTTGTTGTCTGAACTTGTTTTGCGGCACAAGTTGCACAATTTGTGTTTGTGATTTTTTGGGCTGGCAGTGAAAGTGGTTTTAGGCGTCATTAAATTTTGACCATAAATATATTTGGGGTCGGGCAGCTTAGGCGATATTATTGTTTAACACTAAGGTATTGGCGGCATGATTCTTTTGGAATCGACAACTTTTTACGAGCGTGCCGAAAATGTGGCTGCTTTGGACACAAAGCTCGTAAAAGGGTTTTTAATACCCATAAAAGATTATAGCTTAATTATGGACATTCATTTCGAAAATCTCAATAGAAGTTTTTATTAGCAAAATGTATTCATAATCTTAAGATTTGTCTTGTCGTGACTTGAAGCCGATTATCCTGGATGACCTGGTGTCATATTCTATATATTTATATATATCTTAGCATAATACTTAGCGGCTGTGAATATCCGATAACTAGCATAAAACAGGTCGTTAAATGCAGTTGAAATTTTCTGTCGAGGCCATCAAAAAAGCTGTCTTAGAAAGTGAACATTAAAATGTTCGTGAATGTTAACAACAAATTCTTAACAAATTCATTTCAGTTTCGGCCAAGTTTGACATGACAGATGGATATACGAGAGTTCGACACATTAGATTGTTTAAAAATGTGAAAATGGCTGCTTTTCTAATTAATTGATAGACGCATATAAAAATTTGTGAAAGCCATCGCCTTGTTGGCCACAAAGAGCGCCTTTTATGCGTTTATAGGTCCATTTACAATTTTGGGTATTCACATTGTCCGCAGCCCAGAGAGTTTTTGGTGTCAGCTCTTTTTGTGTTTGTGCATGGTGTGTCTCCGGTTAATGGCCGTTTTTAAAATGCCATAAAATTGCTTTATACGTTTACGATATTAATATGCACACCAATATTGGACATTATTATAATATATTGAGCAGCTAGCGAGCGCACAAAAGCGCCACAAATGAGCCAAAGACTGACCCAGTCGAAGGCGAGACCCGATCTTTGATTTTGGTCAACACCCTGGTCAACGCACCCTGCGGCGCACATTAACAAAACTCTAAACAATGGCCAGACCTAGTTGGGAAGATGCAGCGTGGAGGAGCACGCGGAGAAGGCGCAACAAACATTTCAATTTGTATAATGAAACTGCGCGCTGCGTCTGTCCCCGATCTTGTTCCTGTTGCCTGACATGTGTTGGGTATCAAATTGCCGGCATTTGTCAACGGAGCAAGTCTTCCATAAATTAGGGGCTCGTTAGATAGCAGGCGTAGCATGTTCTGCTGATAAAACGGCGTGAGATTGCCCGTTATCAAAGTCATCCATTGGCTCATAACTAATTGTTGCTCCTTCAAGCGGACAGCTCTGGGAGCCCGATAAGATGTTACCCGTGGTTGTGTCTTTTAGAGATATTCTAGGGTCGTACTTGATAAATACTTGTTTATTTATTGCTACAAATTGTGCGAGATTTGTTTTCTTTAATTTATAATGACAGAAACAACTAAGGATCCGTATGAGCTCGGGCATACTGGAGTTTAATTGTATATTACCTATGAAGTACCTATTTTTCCGCCATAAGCTGTGACTTTATATTTAATAAACCTATCATAATGAGTCATTATTTAAAAATAAATAATTTAAAGTTGTTTTCAGAATTTACTTGTCATATGTTTAAATGTTTAACTTGAGACTAAAAAACTAAAAATTGTTTCAGTATGCTCGAGCATATTGCAGTTTAATTCTATCTCTGCCATATAATGTGAATTTATATTTAATAAACTTGCATAATTTAACATAAAATATTTTAAAGTTGTTTTCAGAATTTACATGTCATACATATGTTTAAATGTTTAACTTTAAAGTTTCAACTAAACAATTGAAAATATAAAATGTAAGGGTGAATGTCAATTAACAGATATTTATATATTTGGAGCACAAGTTTTCAGAATTCACATGTCATATGTTTAAATATTTAACTTTAAGGTAAAAAACTGAAACTAATTTATTAGGAGCACAAGCTGTGACAAGTAACAGGTGCCTCATAATCTGTCATCTTTCTGTCATCAGGAATCAGCCTGTCACTAAAAGTTAATAAGCACAACAGCATTTGTATTCAAATACTGAATATTTGCTGAGGGATTTGACCCTATGCAGGGCATAATAACTGCGAAAAATGGAAGATGCTTGGAATATGGCCGAAAGCATGTTATTGGATGTGCTCGTCTCCAATGTGTACAATCAGTTTATCCACCAGAACGCATCCCTATTCAAGGACAAGGTAAGCGCTTCAATACGATTATTTACCACCTTTTTAATTGGTAAGCTCGCACGTAGATCGTACTGGATGTGGGCTGTCGCAGCGGACTGCTGAGCATCCTGGCCGTCGAGGCGGGCGCCATCAAGGTCTTTGCCGTGGGCAACATGCAGAGCGCCAAATGTGTTACGAAGGTTTTGGCCCATGGCGAGAACGCGGAAGTTTTTGAGCCGCTCAGCGGTTGCATCAGCCAACTCAAGTTGCCGTGTGGACTGAAGAAAGTGGATATAATAGTGTCCGAATGGATGGGGTAGGACATATTTACACCCAGCTTTCATTCAATTAGTCTGTTCTGTTTTAGGCATGCTCTATTCGCGGATTCACTTTTCTGCCAGGTGCTGTACGCACGTGACAAGTGGCTGACAAAGGGCGGCCAAATCTTTCCCAATGTCGCCAATCTCTATATACAGGGCATATCGCAGAGCCGAAATCAGATCGTTGATAAAAGCCTGCCGCCCATTTTGCTGATGGACGATTATGTGAATCGGCAATCGCTCATGACGGAGAAGTATCTATTGAAGAGCATAAACCTGAGCAGCGCCAAAGATGAGATTGAATTCTTTAAGGCCGACTTTAAGTTGAAGGCTGTGCGGAACGGAAAGGTGTCCGGCTGCATGCTCTACTTTGACATATGCTCCACAAATGCCAAGGGTCAGCTGCAAAAGCTGTTCTCCATAGGTCCAGAATCGCCCAAAACGTATATGATGCAAACGGTGTTATTCCTGAAGGAGGATGCCCTCGAGGTTGTCGACCAGCAGCTTCTGTTTGGACGTTTTAGCATGGCAGTCGGCTGCTTTGCGCCGCGCGGCGTTGAGTTCTCCCTGGGCATATGGCTGGGCCAGTAGCCGCCAGTGCTGTACTTAATAAAGGGTAATGCTGATGCTGATGCGAATGCGAATGCGAATGCTGAAACGGCTGGTTGATGGTTTGATGTATTCATGGCAATATTTAGGCGTTCTTTGCAGGCAGTTCGCCTTAAAGGCCAACACGTCGCTCCGGGCTGAGCTGAAGGCTTGTGATGTGCTCCTCAACGATCGTTGCAAGATCAAAATTTATGGCCGTGCTGCATCAATTAGGGCGGCAGCCCGACGACTGCGCTACTCAAAAAGACAATGGTCAGCGCGGGCTTGGCTTGCTTGCTTTGCTGCTTTTTTGCCTGACCTGATCGGTGTTTAGCTTTGACGTTGCAACAACGATTTAAAATGATGTCGCGCATAATTCACTGATCGAGTACAAGATCGAGGATTCGGCGATCAGCGTTTCGCCAGACTTTGCCAGACTTTGCGTCGTGCTCGGGCTCCCTCTTCTGTCTGCAGATCTGTCTGCAGCTCTGTGCCCTCGTTTACAGTTAAGTTCTTTTGTTCAAATCTCATAACTGATCACTGATCGCTGCTCGCTGCTCGCACTTGGTTAACGCTCCATACAAGGCGCAGTACAATGGGCTGCCTGCTCGTCCTGCACACAAATTCGTTCGTTTAAATGATATCTTTGGGTCTGCGGCAGAGGGAATCGATCCGCTCGCTCGCATGCTTAAGTGACATTTGGCGGGACGTGGGTCTGTGATGGATTAGCATCATTTTGCCGTGAGGATAATGTGTCGTCGACAATGATTTTGGTTGACATGTTTTTCGTTTTTCGTTTTTTTTTTTTCTTTTTGAGTTTCGGCTGTTCTCGGAAATAATTATGCTGCTTTTGCGCAAAAGTAACAGCATTTTTGTACAAATTGCATAAAAATTTAAATTGGCCAGGCGAACTTTTTGGGCTTTTCGCGGCAAACCCAGAAAATTGCTTAATAATGAAATGCCAATGGATTAAGCGCAATTTGTGCGGCATGCGGCATTTGGCGGGCCCACTGATCCGCGCCACTTGCTGCATTCCACTCGAAAGCTCCCTTTTTTGCTGCCCGCTCAGCCGCTCACCTGAATTTTTACTTTATTTTACACCTACCCAGTCAGCACTAGCGCTGTCTCTTTCTGGCGACTCCCTCTCTCTCTCTCTCTCTGCAGCTTTCCGGCTTTCGCACGCTCGCCTCGCAGCGTTTTCATTAAATTCGCTTAATAGCGCAATATAATTTAAACAAGTAGTAACATAAAATAAAACTCACAGCAACGCATTGAAAGGCATAAAAAGAGGCAAATGATGCCGGGCCAGAGTTGGCCTCGTCTGGCCTCGCCTCGCCTGGCCTGGCCTGGATCCGAGTCCGAGTCCGGTTGCGGGTTATGGCGCATGGGCGAGACGCCCGGCTTGGCCCGCAAGTGCAATAAGTTCGCTTAACGAGGGTTTAATTTATGATTTGTTATGTTTCCGGTTCGTGTTCTTGTGGCCGATGCTAAAAAATTATTGGCAATAAAGCTAAGGTGTGGATTATAGTTGGCTGCAGCTAGTTAGCCACTGCGAATCCAGAGCTGGAGGTGGACCGATTAGCGTTACCTGCGCGAAATGTTAGTACAAATACGGATATACTACACACACACAAGTCGATCAGCAGCAGGAGCAGATCTTGGGATTAAGTTTGGCATTGTTCGTTCTTAGATGCAGTTGAGCAATATTTGCCACATATTGCACAGTTTTGTCTTTGCCACTAATAATCCCTAATCCTTTCACGCTCACTGTGCATTTGCGGTCGGACAGCCAGAGTCCATGAAGCATGGCAATCGCAACGGGAGCGGGAACGGGAGCGGGAACGGGAGCGGGTGGGGGTAACGAGGTACGTCGCATTGCGTTGAAAATCGATTTGTTTGGGTTGCGCCTGCGCAAACAACGCGGCCCCTGGATAAGAACGGATAAGAAAATAAGCAAAGACACAGCAAAAGGGTCAGAAACGGGAACAGGGGCTGGCAGTGCGACAGACGCTGGGGCAAGAAGGCGAAATGGTTGAAGGCAACGCCAACGAGTATCTGCTGGAACATAAATTACGCGACTAACAAGCAGCGCCCCGTGCAGCCAACCAGCCCAATGCCAACCAACTTGGCCGAAAGCTAAAAAAGATACAAAGCCTCGGCCTGGCTCGGCCTGGCTCGACTGGGCACTGGACACTGGGCACTTGGGAACAGGCTGCGCTGCCTGGCCAGAAGTGAGTTGCACAAAATTATAAATGAAAGCGGGTGTTGGACGCCGTTCACAGGAGAGCAGCTCAGCTGAAACGCAGCAGCAACGCAGCAGCATCCCAGCAGCATCCACGTCCACGATTAGGTGTAGCAATTTGGACGGGCTGCCTGTGATTGAGACCGAGGCAGTGTTCGAAACGAAGTTAAAAATCAAATTAGCGAATGTGTTGAAAATTAAAAACAAATTCACGGATAAATTGCATCTGCCAGATACGCAATTATTATGAGGGTAGACAGGACCAGGGCCAGGCACAGGGAGAGAAACAGAGAAACGTGAACTGCGACTGACTTATGGACTCTGTCCAGGCTCTCCAGCTCAGCTCCGCTCTGCTCTGCTCTGACTTGGCTGTTGGGGCTGCTGTTCTGGTTCTTGACTTTAGCTCTGGCTCTGTCTCTGGCTGTGGCTGTCCGCTGAGCGCTGTTTTTTGCCCTCGAGGTGTTGCAATTTGACGTTTTTTACGCGCGTTTTTATTCCATGAAATCCACATAAGCTTCACAAGGATGCAGCAGCAGCAGCCGCAGCGGGCACAGCAGCAGCCGCACGCAGTGCAAATAGTTGGCCCTAAATGGTTTTTGGCGAAAAACATGTCGAATTAACACGCTCAGTTGCTGTGCAAGTGGAATGCCAG